CATGAGCACTAACTGCTTGTTAGTAGTAGTTTAACTCTATACAAGAGTGTATAAATTATTAACCGTAAAAAAGTAATCAATAAATCAATAAATGCAAGGAGAACTCTACAAGAATAGGACTTAGAGGACCAAGCAAGCATGGTTGATGTAGAGATGTTGAAGGAGCGAACTACTGCATACACGGCGCAACGATGACATACATCATACATACACACTTGAGAAAAGGACAAGAGGTGTTAATCAAAGAAGTCGCCGCGCGGCGCGGACAACTGGCACAAATTGATGGTACGTTGGTGTGAGCGAGAGATGTGAAACAGTTGAGCGAACATGTTTAGAACTTTATCACCTCCTCCTTTTTCGCAGCAGTGAACAGGCTGCCACGAGTGATAGATGGTGCGAAGCCGGGTGAATCCTTCTCGATTGCCAGTTGATTTGTTTGCGGTGGTGGCGACATGGAAGTTGGTCGTACAATGCTAAAAACAGGAGATTGAGTGGTCAGGGGATGAATTTATCCCAACTTACTTCATTTTGGGCTTTGGCGGAACGGGAGGAGGTGCCCGACCAGCTCCAATCCCATTCAAGTTATCGTAGTTTATCGAACGACCATTCATAACTACGGGAATCTAAAATTTTCGAAAAATGAACTTCTACCAAGCAAATCAAAAAATATTTTGAATGCACTTTTGCAAATTGAAAAATAATCAGGTTCTGCAAATTTCTGCAAAGTATTAAAGGTTAACTTACATTACGAGTTTTTGGAGGCCTACATGGTGGTGGTTTTTGGTCGAACTTTGGCGGGAGACCAGGAGGAGCTCGTTCCTAGATTAATGGGGTTTTTTTTTTCGAAGAATGGAAGGTTAGAATAGATTATAAATCAAGTCCTGAGATCACTTATAACAGAAAATCTGAGCAAAATTTTTATTTGCTAATTTTTTGACTTATTTAAAACTTTTAAAAGGTAGTTATAGGATTAAAATATTAGAATAAAAACAAGTTCTTGCAAATCCTTTTTCACCAGAGAACAAACCAAAACTAACTTGAGAACGAAGTAGCTTTTCTATACTTTGGGATAGAAATGCTCCAAATAGAAAAATGTACTTGTAGCATGTGTTCCTTTTTTACTCAGGACTACATATGAGTGTAACAAGATAAATAGAATGTAAAGAGAACCTGTCCTTACTTTTGCTGAAGGGAATGTTCCAGTAAGTGGTCAAGGAAAAAGATCATGTGAGTATTTGAGAACGAGAGGGACTGGAAACGAAGAGCAAAGCAGGATTAAGTGCCCTTTTAAAGGCTTTAGAGCACAATTAGGGAGAAGAATGGAGAAAAAAGAAAAACTGTACAACAGGGTAGAAAAGCGATTAGAGGAAGTAAATAGGGGTGGAAAATAGATTGTCTATAAGAAATCGTGCCTCATTGGGTAGAATGCGCATAAAAAGTAGTTATTCGGGAGGATAAACCCGCTTTATCCAAACCTTGATGTACAATAAGATAAGCCGTTAGAACAAAAGAAAGGAG